TATGTTTTTTAATTGTTTTGTTTTCTTTTTATTCATTTTCAGGAATTATGGCTTTGCAGTGCACCACCGTAATTTTGTTATTTTCGCTTGTACTCCTATCCGTCCAAGTCCAAGGCTTAAGAAAAGGTACAAATCACTGACCATTTTTGTCTCTGCGTCAAAAATTATGTTGTGATGAGTATTAGGTGCGAGGCACTACTTTAGAGTACGCTGTTAATTATTGGTGATTCAAACCAGGTGCTTTACACTTCACACTTGTTATTCTATTAGAAATGAATAAATTAATCCAACGCACAATAATGTCATCGGATAATCACAGCCAAACATACGAGCCGGGAAGGCTTGTAAAAACAGGATTAATTACACGGAAAACGTTTATTTTGGCTCACATTTTTGTTATGAAATCGTAAGTGTTGGATGTAGTAAATAGAAAAAGAACGGAAAATACATAAATAGTAAAGCGATCAGGTAACGAGTCATGAACAGCTGTTTTGGCCGTGTTAGGCGTTTCATTAGCATGACGAAGCTGATAATTCAGAGTATTTTTTTTGGCGGATGTCGAACGTAATCCACGATAGCATTGCTTTGTTTAACTTCGATATGTGATTGGTCCAGAAAACTTGCGCCACTCCCTCAACCAATCAGATGCAACGCTAAAACTGATTACAACTTGGTCTCCTGTGTTATTCGCGCTTTAGGTGGTTTGTTTGTTTTTTAGTTGTTTTTTTTTGTTAAAAAAGATATCATTATGTTTGTGTATCGAGTGGTATGTTGCTCGCAACAATCAGATCACTGTATTTGGGTATGTATCTCTCACCAATCACATCGGTGCATCACTGTAAAGGCCTAGCACGAATTTATCATTTGCACGTTTGTTTTGGAAGGGCTAGGTTTGCTGACGAAGGTAAAAATTGCACAGAGCATTTGCATAAAGCATATTTGATTGATAATCTTTATTTTGCCTTATAATTGCTCTTCTGGCGACGGTTGGAAAGATCAGCAAGGTATATTCACTTTCTGCGTCGACTGCAATGAGAAATGATTGTTCTTTGCTTTTTAAAGTTCTCCGTGAATTTCATCTTGTGTTTAAACGTTTTTTTCCTTAATATCTACGTGTTTACTTGTCACCAAAAAATGCTCTTTTTCTTTGGCAAAAATGCAAACGCAAGTTTCAACCTGCCTATCCGAAAGATAAATCTCGCATGCCAAGACCCATAGTAATGAGCTCGTGCGCATGCGTAGCATGCCTATTTTTTTTTCTCTGAGTTGTCACTGGCTCAGTGTGATACTTTTCTTTGCTCTTTGATATTTCTATTTACTTTGCTCTCCATTGTTATATAATTGACTGGGAATAGCCTACGTGTAGCCGTACCCTCTTCGCCAAGGAGAAACGGAAGCATTACTCCTTGGGGGGAGGAGAGGGGGAGAGGGTACGGCTACATGTAGACTAGCCAGGAACGGCCTTATGCAAGTGGTCAAATTCCATTTTTTCTTACATACTAGAGGTCCTGCCAAAGATGCACGAAGAAATTAACTACGAGGGTACAAAACTGAAATGTGACATCTATCATACCACCGACAATTCTGGCACGTGGTGTAACTGTCCTTTTCTGTTCTGCACCGGAAGCCAGGACTGTAGCAACTTAGGTGGATTAATGTGCGGAATTAAAAACAAAAATTACGATTACATGAACATCAAGGATGGAGATTGTAAATGCAAATATTTGGGATAATTTGGAATCATGTAATATCACTTAAAACAGAGGTTTGAAATAAAGTTAATACATGAGAAATTCCAGTGCATTCTAAGCATGCATAGCAGTATTTTTTTTCTGTCTCCACGCAGAGCTGGAGACCGGAGATGCGTGAGCAGAGCGGGAGTCTCGCGAACGTACGCGCGGCGTAAGGGAGCAAAATCATCAAGGGTTAGGGGACTGGGGGGGAACTGGAAAAAAGCCTGCTACTAAGCCCAGAGATTTTCC